AGTGGAGAGGAGTTCGATGCCGGACTGTTTACAAAGGGCGTTAGCAAGGAGTGCAGAAGCCGCTTGGGAGAAGTCTGTAATGCATCACTAGGACATGGTGTTCGGCTGTGTGCAAAACCATCTGAACAGAGCTTTGACATGTTCATGAACATGCCTCCAGGGGAGTGGAAAGTTTGTCTTCCCTTCCTTCCCACCCATTCTTGCCCTCTCTCTACTGGTGAAATCCAAAGCCAGCTTCACTGGGCTTGGAGCATGGCAGAGAAGGGGAGGCTGGCCTCAGCTTCTTAGGAATCCAACGCCCCGCACAGGAAAGCTGAGTACTATGAACAATCCTCAGTCTAAAGTATTCCAGCTCCCCACTGCTTCTGTTGCTGGCTAACTTCTTTAAAACCGTTATTCTGAGAATGAATGATCTGGAAGTCAGGTGTTTGGGACAGACCTCTGCCCACTCATATACTACACTGTATTGTTTATTTTTATTGTACACCCGTTTAAACATTGACTTGTGTTTTACTTGCTGGTGTCTTCTGAAGTTGGTTGAGGCACCACAGTCCCCATTCCCAATTTACCCAGAGAGAATACTGTCTGTTCCAACGTTTGAATATGCCCTCATTTGTGCCTGGCACAGACTCACCAATTATTTCAGCCAACTTCACGACTGGTTCTCATCAGCTCGGCTTCATTGAACTGAATGGCCATCGACACTGAGGCCTTCCCTCGATAGGCTCAGCTTTACATACTTGGTCACCTTGAATAGAAATGTCTGCCTCAAAAAATCAGTTAAAAGTCACTGGAACAGAGCTGCTGACCCATTCAAATTCATTGCATTTGAATTTCAGCTGTGCTGTCACTGGCATTTTTAAAAAGTGTGATACAGTATGACAGATGTCGTGAAATCAGGGCTGTGTGCCTCTGGAAAGAGCGTGAGTGACAATCCATAGATCTGAAGTTTACAGTAACCCCGAGCCGATCACATTGGCCATGAGGCAAGGCTGCATCCGTGCCACACATATTTCTATGGAAGAGGTGAAGCAAGGCACAGCAAGAGGAAATTTTGACCTTGATAATAAGTAGACTTCTGTGTAAGAATATGTAATACCCCAAAAAGTTTGGTGGCCTACTTTTGTTCCAATAATAGTTCATCTCTAATATCTTTAATAATGAGCTTTTGCTATCTTATTGCATATTGCATTGTTTATATATTGTCTTTATTCAGGATTTAGAAAATGTCAACTTTAGAAAGAGATTGTAATGTTTGTATTTAGATTATTTTAAGGTTGGGCAATTCAATGGTTTTGTGCTTGTGTGTGTTGTGTGTGTGCATGTGTAGGCTTGTGTGCACATAGGCTAATGGCTCCCTCTCTCTTTCCAGGCTTTAAACCTCTCCTCTATTCTTCAAGCATTGAACACAAGTCCCAATATCAAGTGAATAAATGATTAAAGGAATAATTGTTAGATAAAATTCTCATCTTTAACTTCTGACTCCTTCATGACACTGTTGTGACTCAAAATTTTAATTTTGAACAGGCTAGCTTAATGGTTGTTTATATTTTGCATCTATAATCTACCCAATGAACCAGCTTTTAACAGACTGGAGCTGTGTCAGGCAAACCCAATTCTATTCATTATGCTTGGCATGGTGATTTATATGAGCATGCTCAGTATGTGCTAGTCCTGGTGAATAATTAAATTCTAAAATCAAAACTATTTTTAATCCTCTCTCTCTGTCCCTCCCAGTCTCCCCTTTCCCCCCTCAGGTACATGCACAGCCCACATGTGGAGGTTAGAGGACAATGTCTGATGCCAATCACTGCCTTCCACTTTGTTTGAGGTAGAGTTTCTTGTTTTCTTTTCTAAAGGAAACATCAAATTTAACTTATAGAAAAACAACCTGGAAGCAACTACAAGAACAATGGGCAAGCCAACTCCTGCAAAGAGCAAGGTGGTCACAGTGGCTGGAGGGCTAGAGGAAGGGGACATGTCATTTAGCTGGAGTGCTTGTAAGGCACTTGCAAATGAACTTCTTTGCCTGTGGAGGGATCAGCATGTGTGTGTGTGTGTGCGCCCTTCTCTTCGTGAGTATCCTGCACATCTCAAGAGGCAGAGACTCCACTTTTCTACACAGGATCCATCCCCTGTGTCAACCAATGGAACGGTGATAACACTATCTCCCCTGCTGAAGAACACGGGGATGCTCCATTCTGTCTCTTCATCTGTCTCTGTCATCGTCACGGCTTCGCACCCATCTCCCAGGATCATATTTAAATGGTGATCACAGGCATGTAGCCTGCCTCACAGCTCTCGGTCATTTCCCATCTTCACATAAATTCCCTCATTCAGGCTGAGCCTGATGAGATCCAGGGACTCCTTTATGGTTATAGGTAGTCCGCTGCTGATCTACGTCATTCGCCATGTTTGAATCTCTTGTTATATGATGTATGCACCAGGCTTGCTGCTCTGGGACCTTCTGGGCATCTCCTATTTCTGTCTCATGTCTTGGTGTAGTATTGGGATCAAAAGTGCATGCTACTGTGTCTGGGTTCCTGGAGTTCAAACTCATGTCTTCAGTTTGAGCAGCACATAAAATGCCTTTGAAAGTATGAAATGTAGTGTTCTTGGAAAGCTCACTACATACTGGCAAACAGAACCAATAGAGCTACTGGGAACATTGGAAACTCCAGGTGCCAGGCCAAGATTAGTAACTGATAGCTTTAGGGAACATATGTCTTTGAGCCTCTATTTCCTTCTCTGTAAAATGGGAGCAGGTAAGGCAGCAATCTTGAAAGGCTGAGATAAGTGTTCATTGACAACTTTAGGATAGTTGTTATATTTTAAGTACTAATAACTCAACGGCCTTTGCTCACCACTCTACTTTCTTCTGAAACTGCTCCCCCTTTCTCATCCAGATGGAACAACAGAAGCAAACATGTTCCTGTGCAACCCTAAAGCCTGCTCACCAAGTCCTTTTCTCAGGATTTCCTGGATCAGGCACCAAGAGACAGAGGTAGGAGTCTTTCTACACAATGTAGCTGAAGGAACCACTGAGGTAGACTGGGAGTTGCCAGCAGTATCCTCTGCAGTGGGACAGGTCAGTTTCTAGGGAGTAAGGGAGCAGAAAGCAGGGGAGATGGGGCACTCAGAGACCCGGGTGGTGTTTGAGTTCTCATTTCTTGTGCTCAGTTCCATGAGCTTGTTCTGTAATATTCTGGTGGCTCATTTTCTATGCTAGAAACTTGACCAGCACGAGTGGTTCTTGATTCTTCTCTCAAGCTGAAATCACAGCAGTCTTTCCTTTCTTGCATATTTTGCATTCCTTAAATGAAAAGAGCTAAAAAGGCTGCAAGCACCTTGCCTGCTGAGCCATCTCACCATCCCATACTTGTATCAATTTTCCTTTGCTGGTGACATTACCGGGGACTTGGTGGCTTAAGGAATCCCACACTGGGCATGTGCAGTTTCTGTTTGGGCATGGCGTGACTGGATTCTCTGTGCTGGCATTTGATAGGGCACAGCCAGGGTATTGGCATTTGATAGGGCACAGCCAGGGCATTGGCTAGGACTGTGCTTGTGTCTGGTCATAGACATTTGTCACCTTCTGTTTTTTGAGTGACTGGCCTTTCCAAGAGGCTGTGTACAGCAGAGCCCATACAGCCTTTAAGACTGGTTATGATAAAGCGTGGCGTGAGGGTACTGGAGAGGAGTCAGAAGCTCGGGTGGCTAAGGAAAGAAGAACTTCAGCATGGTGTTCTTAACGTGTGTGAGCTGTTGGCACAGGCAGAACACACCTTCATAAAAACCTAGTAAGAGGGACTTGGAAGAGAATTCAGTTTGTAAAGTACTTGCCTCGTCAGCATGAAGGTATGAGTTAGATGCCCAGGATCCCTGTAAAAGCTAGGCATGGCAGCATGTGCTTGTGCTCTCAGTGCGGGGAGCCAGCCAGAGACAGGGAGCTCTCTGGAGCTCTCTGGCTAGCCAGTCTATCAAGTCAGTGGACTCCAGGTTTGGTGAGTGCCAAATGATGCGGAGTTACAAAGTCATGGAGTGGTTAGGGAGTGTGGAAATGGGTGTTCCCCGCCTCCCCCTGCAACAGGGGCTGAGTTACTTTTTTTCCTCAGCAAGTTGGACCATGCCACAATTTTAGACTATTCAGAAGTCCTAATATGCAATGTTAGAGAAATGACAGTTCCCTGAGCAGGCCCCCTCACCTTCTTCACTTCGGGTTTGCCAGATGCTGCTCATGAGCCCAGGCCTCTACCCCAGTGCAGCAAAAGGACACCCACGGCACTAGCATGCAGTTTTCATCCTCCTGTTCCTTATTCCTGCTTAGCTCTTTATGGCTGTGGGGTTAGTGCTGGTTTGAATGGAAATGGCCCCTGTGGGCTCATAGATCTGAACACCTGGTCACCATTCAGGGAGAATCACTATTTGGAAGGATTAGGAGGTGTGGCCTTGTTGGGAGAAGCGTGTCACTAGGTTATAGATTGGATATAGCGCTTTGACATAGTTCTCAGCTACTTCTCCAGTCTGTCTACCTGTAGCCATGCTTCCCATCATGGTGACAGTGGGCTAAACTCTGAAAATGTAAACAAGGCCACAATGAAATGTTTTCCTTTATAAGAGTTGCTGTGGTCATGGTGTGTTTTTACAACAATAAAACACTGACTAAGACATTTACCAACCAGTCTTGGCTTCAAGTCCTCCTGTCTTCCACTGCCGTATTAATATGATAAAAAAAATGCCCTTAGTATGTCAGGATTGCTTTTAATAACTTCTCTTTGGTGCTCACTGCATCAGCATATACACTCAAAGTAGAACAGTAGGGCTGGAAAGATGGCTCAGTGGTTAAGAGCACTGACTGCTCTTCCAGAAGTCCTGAGTTCAATTCTCAGTAACCACATGGTGGCTCACAACCATCTGTAATGGGATCTGATGCCTTCTTCTGGTGTGTCTGAAGAGAGCAATGGTGGTATACTCATATGCATAAAATAAATAAATAAATCTTAAAAAAAGAAATAGCTTTAAAAAAAGTAGAATAGTACAGGGAAGATTAGTATAACCCCTGCACAAGGATGAGGTGCAGATTTGTGAAGTGTTCCATACACTAAGAAAAAATGGCCTTTCTTTACTTGTTTGATAAAAACCTGTATTT